GTGTTTCTTTAACATACGCTTAAATACTACAAGTCTATCGCACCGCTTCAATTCATTCGGTATGGCATTATACATTTTCACACCTTTATAGAATAAACTTTTTTGTGCGCTTCTTGTTTTCCTAAAATCTATTCTAATATTTACAACGCGGTCGAGTTTCGTTTTTACGTGGCGACGATGGCGGCTTGGGTATTTTGTAATCTTTTTCGACTCTAGCCATTTCGACTTCTCTGGCGAGGTCTAGCAGTTCCGTGAATGACGTGACTTTATCGCGTGGTATTTCCTTGCGGATTTTATATACTAATAATCCGTAAACCATATCTATCTTTCCGTTAGCGGAGTGTCACACGGAAGTTTCGACAGTAACGCACGCGCTTTGCATATAAATATGTCTGTTGATGTGGCCTCTTCCTGTTCGCCGGCGAATAGTTCTTTATATATTCGATACGCCGGTTTTTTGGGTCCGTAAGTTTGTTTTAACAGTTCTATCGCGGTATCCCAGCTATTAACCGTGTGTTTAACACCTTGGCACCATGTCGCGGCGATGTTCGTGAGGAGGATCGGTAACCCTTTCAACGCGTTTTCGTCAGATGTATTAGTACATTTTTTATATGTGACGATCGCGTCAATAAATGCTTCTACATTGGACGTCTTGCTTCCGTCGAATCGTGTAGTGCATCGTGAAAAATTACCTTGTTTTTGCGCGATGTTTGCGACAGGGACGTTTCCGGCAGATATTTGTATCTGTTGTAGAAGGGCAGCAAACTGTTCGTTCGTTAATGTGATCGCGTTACCTGTGCTTTGACCTTCTGCCATCTTGGTTCTTTCTTCCCGCTTTCGTACCTGGGTTTCTTCGTCTGTCTTTATCCTACGTGGTATCGGCGACTGTGCTCACGTTTGCGACCGTGTCGTCGGTCGCGTTGGCCTCCATGGGGACGACGTTTTGTCTTGGAACGATGCTCTTCGTCGTAAACCTTTCCTCTTAGTTGGGCGCCAATTGTAACGTCCGTGTACGTGACCCGGTGATTACGTACTGACCGTTGGATTTAGTTGGTTGTCGTAAGGGATTTATGACACGAGGGGGAGTGAGAACCGATCGGTATATCCAAAAGAATACAAATATATTTCTTCTTTTGATACACTAAGGAAAATGACTCGAAAATTAATACGTAAACTCTTCTACTTCCGAACTCTGCTGCTGCTACTATTCTTCTGATGCTTCTCTTTGTCGAGCGCCATTTCACCGGATGGCGTCACCTCTGCACAGCGCCATCACGCTGGTCATTGCCGACTTATGGCGGCGGCCTTCGAACGGGTCGTAGGGACCTTCGCGTTACATCTTACAAATTGTAATAGTATCTTAAAGTACAGGCAGCACAGTCATTATGTGTTTCTTTAACATACGCTTAAATACTACAAGTCTATCGCACCGCTTCAATTCATTCGGTATGGCATTATACATTTTCACACCTTCATAAAATAAACTTTTTTGTGCGCTTCTTGTTTTCCTAAAATCTATTCTAATATTTCTGATTGTCTCGTTCGCCTTTCGCTTACATCTC